GGTGGCCCAGGTTCCTTGGAGGAAAGATTGAGGCTACGCACCTTCTTTAGCACGGGGATGTCTACCCTCTCCCAAAACTAATGTTGCAAGAAAAACTGCACATCAGAAAATAAAGAAAATATGAACACAAGTGTTCAAATTGTACATTTGGGAGTATTTTTATGCAGAAGACCTCCATCCTGCCTAGTACAGATCCCATGCTAATTTTGTTCAGCTTTGTGCTTATGGTCATTGCAGCTGAGCTGTTCTGGGGTTCATCCCAGAGCAGTTCAGGGAGCTCTGGGACCATGGGCTCTGAAGGTGGAGACAAAAGGCCCACCTCTGCTCCAGAGCAGCATCTACAGAGGCCTGGGGATGTGCAGGCACAGACACTTCAGTGTCCCCTTTTGCATATCAGCCTTTGTGACCAAAGGTGCTCGGTCCCATCCTGCCACGTTACTCCATGGCTCTTGGGCTCCAGGACTGGGCTTTGCCTCTGCTGGCCAGGGTTTCTGGTCGAGTCCCAGCTGGCTCAGGCCCAAGCAGAAGTAGGAGGAACTGCTGTCGAGTGAAAAGTGCTCATCATGTGATTGATGACCCTTAATAGAGCCAGCCCCCTCCCTCCCCCTCCAGCCTCGCTCCCAGCGAGGACCACGGCATACCCACTGCCGCTGCTCACATGGGAATCAGAGCTGTTGCCCGTTCAGGGATTAACCTGCCTCTCAGGCCCTGGAAAGTGGCTGTGGCCAACAGAGCTCTGGTCCAGCCCATCTCGCGCCTTTTAAAAGCAGAGGTAGCCAGTTGATCAATATATATAACATCACGTGGTGCCCAGCCAACCACCGCGGCCCTAATTGCCCCGGCAGCCCCTTTGTGCTGCCCGTCTGGCTCCAGCTTTTGTTCCCCGGCAGCTCTGCAGCGGCGGTGCCGGACGCCTGGGCCTCTCCGCCACGCAGCACGCTGCGCCTTCGCCAGGCTGCCATTGTGTGCGGCCGCTGGGCACACACGGCAGGCTGGCACCTAGAAAGATGGCGTTGCGACCTGCAGCTCCTTCCCTCCCTCCCCGGTCGACAGCTGTCAGCGAAGCACCCTCCCAGCCGTAGTCTGGCAGCCCCATCCCCTTTGCCCTCTTTTTTCCTTAATCGAGTAGTCGCTTCTGTGCCTGGCCCTCCCTGCAGGCTGTTTCATAGGGCTTCCCATGGGACTGGAGGCATGCAGAGACCCCAGTGGTGGATCCTGCCTTCAGACTTCTTGCCATGGAGCTTCAGTGACCCAGCTGGTCTGTAAGAAAGTCAGGGGGCTTCTAGGTGGTGCCGGTGGGCTCGCTCTTTCTTAGCCAGCCTCCCCCCTGCCTGTCCTTGCTTCCTGGGTGTGGAGCCAGCTGCCTCCTCTTCACTCATGGACAAGGTTGCCCACAGTCCCGGGTGACCCAGGCATGGTCCCATGGTGGCAGCCATGTGGGGTGCACCAGAGTCCCTCCCCAGCCTGCCCAGGAACCAGGGCTGGGAGCCTGCAGTGCTCTGCCCAGGGAGCACTTGCTAACGGAGCAGGAGGCACTTGGCTTTGTTTTCCCAGCCCCACACAAGTGGCACCTGCAAGACAGTGGCATCTCTGGGAGCCCCTGGCTGTGCCTGCCTAGGTCCCCCTGCCCTGGTCCTGCTCACCAGGCCCTAGACAGAGGGACATGAATGTGACCCCCGCCTCAAAAGAAACAGGTTGCGAAGGGGCAGTTCAGCCCTGCACTGACTGCACAGAGCTACGACAAACCGTCACCTCCTTTTTGCAGCAGTGGAACTGCTGCAGCCCCATTAAATGGTGGGTTACTGTAAGGGCCAAATCAACAAGTGGAGACCCCAAAACCCACTGATCTGAACAGGAGAACCTGCATGGCCTCAGTGAAGCTTGGTGTATCCCTGACGCCTCTCAACCAGTGCTGTCGGCAGCTCTCTAGCCCAAAGACTGATGCAGCACTGCCAGCATTTCAAGTCCCTGGCTCGGTGACCCTGTTATGGGTCTGGAGCAAATGGAGAGAGCAGGGAAGGAGGAGAAGGGGTGCTACGGCTCCTATTTGCAAAGAAAGGCAAGGCTGGGATCAGCCCCAGGCCTGGCCTTGGCTGACGGGTTGTGTTTTAAATAGGTGATTGGAGTTCAGCACACCAGATGCTGTTGCAAAGGAGCTGAGTTCCTATTGAGTGTGAAAGGGGGTTATTTATAATTTATGGGTTCTAAATGATGGGCCAAGAAAAAGTCTAGCTTGTGCCAAAGTGTCTCTCTCCTCTAGATGGCTGATGCTTGTACAAACATTGTAAAAATGCCAGCGATCTCACTAAAGTAACATTACTACTAATAATTAGGTTATCATCACGGGCTTCTATTGCATTACAAATGAGACACCTCTGCCAGAGTCACAGAGAAGAAAGTGAATTTATTTACAAGAAGGTTCCCCCTCACACATGCTCCTCCTTCTACCCCACTGGAAACCAAGTCTGCAAACCCCATCTTTCTGCAGTATGAAAATAATTCAGGATAGTGTGCCTCAGTAACACTGTGGTTTTGGTCAGGGTTCCTCTGAAACCCCCTTCTTCCTCAGATCTGGGGAAGGGCTATCTATAAACGGCCTTTTCCTTCTTAACAGATTTAATGAAGGACTAATAGTGTAAGTCAGAGCAGACACTGAAGAACAGCTTACAGAGCACGAAAGTGGGAAACACTTGGGAAAAGCATATTGGGTTACACCTGGGATGGCCCTGCAGAAACAGGGGTGCCTTGCCGTTTCACAGATACAAGCAGGTGATGCAAAATATGTTGTGTTTTCAGTAACACACAAAAAACCCTACATGGACAATTTCAGTTGTGGGTACAGAAAGTTTTGGAGATACAAACAAATATATATATAAATATGTGGACTATTATAGAAGTAAAACTCATGAGTGGTGTTTAGCCTTACTTTTTGTGTTGTGTATTTTGATTACTCCTGGATGGAGCTTCTAAGAAATAATTTGTGTGAAAGCTTCCATAGAAAACAATTTTAGGGCTCAAAATGGTTAAAATATGTCTCCGAACAAAGTAGTTTATTCTGTTCTGTTTTGTTTACAGATCTACAACACATATGTCCAAATTTGCTTGGGTGAAAGTGAAATTTAACAAAATATACAGTTCTCAACGTAGCATGACATTGTTAAAATCACACAGAGGGGAAAATAAAACCCTAAGTAATACTTTGAATCATTACTGTCCAGCCAAACACAAATACCAGAAGGAGAGGAAGAAAGCAGGGAGGAGAAAGAAAAGAAGAATAAAAGAACGAAAGAAAACTTGTCTGTGTTGACCAGAAGTGGAAGAGTTAAAATATTTCTCACAATAGGAATGCCAGGTCCTGTCATTAGAGGATGGAGTGGGAGCTGCAGTGTTTGTCAAACTGGAAAGTGGCGTCAGATGGCTTGGTGGGGAATATAGAAGTTCGGATTAATCTTTAACTCGACACTTTTTTTAAAAGAGATAAGAATAGTCTTCTCGGAGCAACATGTACCATCAGGAAGAGACTTTAATGACAACGTTTACAAAAGAAGTATCTCTGTAAATCCAGCAAGGGATTCAACACAGCCATGTAACTAGAGAGGAGGAAACACGAGGGTTTAGAGCATCGTTCCTTTTTTTTTTCTCCTTTCTTTGTTTTCTCTCATTTTTTTTAAGAATATTTATTTATTTATTTATTTGTTATTCTTCCCCGTGTTAGCTGTCCCGTCCGTGGCAGAGCGCGGCGGCAGTGCCCCCCGGCCACGGTCGAAGGGGACAGGACCGTCCTGGCCGGGCGGCGGGGGAGCGAAGCGGCACTGCCCAGCCACTGCCCGCACCCCGCCTTCGGCTGCCTGGATCTGATTGTCAATTTTCTTTCAAAGTTTATTTTTACGAAAAACAAGACGAAAAGCTCAGGCTTCCCAAGATGTCTAAAAAATTGATTTATGGTTAGTATAAAGACAACAGTATAAATAACAAAGGAGGCGGCAGCTGCTGCGTGGATTGCTATGGAGACCCTAATGAAATTAGCACTATCAGAGGGCTTCTAATTTTTTTGCGTTCTAAGCTTCTATTTTCTTTCCTATTTCAGATAGCCAGAGTGTAATTTAAAAAAAAAAAAAAAAAAAAGCCCACCGAAATAATAATATGTGCGATAGATACCCAGTCAATAAATAAATGTTAACCTCACCGAGGTTTTTGTATGCAGGATTTGATCTGAAACAAGATGGCCAAGCGCCCTGCTTTGTAGATCGCCTCCTCAAAGCGGCCGCTCTTCCAACTACAGGGTGGCTTCACCCGGCCGAGCCAGCTGCAGCCAAGCCACCGAGGCGCTCGAGTGGGGCCAGCCGGTTAGAAATAAATACTTTAAAAATACTTTCGATATTTAAAAAAAAAAAAAAAAAAAAAAGTGTAACGGCTCTTTGTGTGATGCCACAGTTTGTTTTACTCTATTAATGACTTACGACTTGCTGTCTTAATTAATCCTTACATAAACTACAAACACCAGCCACTGTTACAACTGTTCAAGACTACTCTCTCAACTAGCTCAGACCGAATATACTAAATAGGTGAAATGTAAGTCACCACGGACCTGAATCGCTCTCCCGAAGCATTGGTGAAGAAACTACAAATACCCACATAAATACATTAAGACGAGGATAAATAATCAGTGATACAAAAATGTCTCGCTTAAAATAATAAATACATATCATTTAGTCCGATGCGATCCTTACGTTACGGCAGAATTCATAAATTAACTTCTCTGAAATAAGCTCACGCGCGGGCGAGTTCCCACCGCCCACGACTGGTCTAACACACCTCAGCATGACGCGCTGCTAACACTACGGCATCTCTAAGACTTACCTTCAAGTACATCATTACCAGCTTATCAGTCCCTCGGTTTGCAGTATATTGCACTGTCATGCTTTAACACAGCTCTAAGAGGAAGGCTCCTGCTCACGGACCTACTCGGGGCTGCAGAAGAAAAGAAGGGAGCTGCTAGGGGAGACAAATCCACTAACACTGTTGGCACTCGAGAGCAAAGTAACACTGTCCCGTCAGAAAAGTGAGGTAATGGAGAGGGGAGCGGGCCCCGCCGGCCGCCGCCCCGCTACAGATGCGTGAGCTTGGGCGCCTCCTGCATCCGTCCCTGAGAGGAGTGGTGAGAGGAGAGGTCCGTGTAGGTGGGGTGGGGGTCGCAAGGTCCGTGGTGGTGGCCGCCGGGGATCTGGGCGGCGCAGCTGTAGTCCACGCTGGCGGAGGAGGGGTGCTGCAGGTGCCCCAGGTTGAACATGGGGCCCGAGGCCGGCATCGAGTCCACGAAGTTCCCCCCCACGTAGACGGGGCTGCCCTGCAGGCTGGGGTTGGCGAAGCCGCCGCCGCCGCTCTGCATGGGGTGGGGGTCGTACTCCGCGCCCGCGTAGCGCTTCTGCTGCGGCAGGCAGCTGCTCAGCGGCGCCGTGTAGGCGGCCAGCCCGTACATGCTCTGCTGGGATTTGGCGAAGGAGGTGGGCGAGGGCGCGTCGTAGCTCAGGCTGTTAACGCTGGGGAGCTGGCTGGAGTAGCCGACGTGGTTTGGGCCGCTCAGGGGGGGGCTGCGGTCCGGGGACTGTCCGACGGGGGAGTGCATGATGCCTTTGGCTTTCTGGTCCTTTTTGTACTTCATCCGGCGGTTCTGGAACCAGATCTTGATCTGCCGCTCGGTCAGGTTCAGCAGGTTGGCCATCTCCACCCGGCGCGGCCGGCACAGGTAGCGGTTGAAGTGGAACTCCTTCTCCAGCTCCACCAGCTGCGCGCTGGTGTAGGCTGTGCGCACCCGCTTGGAGGCCGGCCCGGGGGGGCTCTTGTCCTCGCAGCTCTCTCCTGCGGGGAAGAGGCACAGAGAGCCGTTGGTCCCCCCCGAAAGCCCCCCCCCGGGGTCCCCCGGAGCCCCGCCGTCCTCTCCCACTCTGCCGCCGCCCGCGGAGGGGGCCCGGGGGCGACCTCCCACCCCTCCCTGCCCGGCATACACCCCACCCCACCCTCCGCAACTGCCTCCCCCCGGGGACACCCAGCGGCCCCTGTCCGGGCGCTGCCGGCACCCGTCGGGGCCGCGCCCGCCGCCGCGGGGCTGTCAGAGGGAGCGGGGCGGGAGCCCTCAGCCCGCCCCACCTGCAGCGCCCGGCAGGGCTGGGACCCCCGAGCGGAGGGCGGGGGCGATGGAGGGCGGGGGCGATGGATGGCAGCCGGAGGAGAAGGGGACGAGGCTGAGGGCCGGGGGGTGCAGCCCGAGAGGTGCAGCCCGAGGGCCTCATACCGGCTCCCCGGGTGGGCAGTGGGCCGGGGCGGGGGTGTCGGGCTACCTGAGGGGGCGCAGGTGCTTTTCTGCTTGGAGTTCTGCCGGGACTCCTTCATCCAGGGGAATATCTGCTTGCTGAGGGTGGCGGTGGCCGAGCCCGAGGAGTTGGGGCCCCCCTTGGCTTTTTTCGGAGGGGGCGCGCTGGGAGGGGGGTTGGGCGGGGAGGAGGGCGGCAGGGCCGGCGGCTGCTGCTCGCCGATGCCCGGGGGCTGGCTGCCCCCCGGCCCCCCCCCGGCCGTCCGCATACAGCTGCCGCTCAGCTCGCTGCCCTTGTGGGCCGGGGCGCGGCCCGGCACCGAGCCCTGCACGGAGCAGGCGGAGCTGGGGTACTCGCCGTCCAGGCCGGCCTGGCCGTAGGGCTGGTGGGCCGCGCCGTAGGGGTAGGCGTCGGCCTTGCTGTAGGTGTAGCCCCCGAAGAGCCCCGCGTTGTCGTAGTAGGCGGCTTTCTGCATCCTCCGCTCTGCGATCGCCGAGGCCCGCGGCCCCCGCTCAAATAACATTGACCGCCGCCCCGCGCCTCACGTCGTCGACCCGGGCCACTCGCAGCCACCTGGGGAGGGGGACAGCGGGGACACAAAACAGACCTTCAGTGGAGGGGGGGGGGGGTTTGGGAGGGTGAACCGGCTGGGAGCGGCCGGGCCGGCCCCGGCACCCCCCGCACCACGGCACCCCCAGCCTCGGCTGGGCCGGTGGGCCCGGGGGCAGCGGGGCAGGAGTGGGGGGGACCAGGGAGAGACCGGGGGACACCCAGGGAAGGACCGGGAGACATCAAGGAAGGAGCAGGGGACACCGGAGAAGGAGCAAGGAACACCAGAAAAGGAGCAGGGGACACCAGGGAAGGCGCAGGGTCACCAGGCAGGAGCCAGGGCACACAGGGAAAGATCAGGACACACTAGGGAAGGACCGGGGAACGGCAGGAGGCGAGGGTGCTGGGGGAAACGGGGACACATGGCGGGACTTCCTAGAGGCCACTTTTCAGGGCATTTGGGGGGATGTTTTCCTGCTTTGTTTTGTTTTTGGACCGTTCCCGCACGCGTTTGGCCGGATCGGCCCCCGCGGGTGCAGGCCGGGGCTCTCGGGGCGGTGTCCCCGGGCACCCAGCAGCCGCTTTGGGCTCCGGGCCCCCCGCGCCCCACGCCTGCCCGCCCGCCACGCGTGCGCACGGCCGCGCACGGCTGACATGATGGATTGAGCCCGGGCTGCGGCCGGGCAGGGGCAGAGAAATCCCGTCTCCTTTGTAAACCCGGCCTCCTTCTTCCCCCGGATTCCTCCGGAGTTAAAGTGTAACCGGCGCCATTCACTCCCTTCACTTTGCACTATAAAGGAAGTCGCAGGTCAGCTCCCCTATTTTAATTCTATGATGAATTAAAATCCCTCACCCAACGTTTCTCGTCCCTTTCATTTGTCCCCAGCAGAAAGAACCAGAGACATAGGAGATCATTTTTGGGGGTTTCTCTTCTTTACCAGCCTGCAAACCTATGACGCTGCACTCCCCGCTGCCCTGGCCCCCTGGTCAGGCTGGAAAACGCCCGGACAGCCCCGAGTCCCCTTAGGGCAGGCGTTTTGGGACAGAGTGCTCTTTGCTTTCCCCTTGCTGCTCCCGAAACTTCTCTGCACTTGTTTGCGAGACAGAAACGGTCACGCAATTTTGCTGTGCCTTTTTCATATTCCCTGTCCTTATTTTTCTTGTCGGATAGGGGTTTTCTCCGAAATTTTTAGTGATTTTGTAAATTAGCACATACTTCACCTGGCAATGTATGTCTGTAACTCAATGTATCTTGAGAGTTAATTGTATTTCTTCAGGGTTTAAGCCTATTAGCATACCAGAGAAGAGTAGCTAGAAATTTCTGAGTAGTGTCCGGTCATTCTCGTTCTCTAGCCTGTACTTGAGCTGTACTACCAGAGCACTGCTCTTTCTCCTGCAGAAGTTGGTACCGCCAAGTACTGCTGATCTGTTCTCTAAAATTCACCGGGAAACACGTCTGCATAACTCAGAATAACCTCATCAAGCTGCGATCCACGGCCGCTCATGGCGGTTTATCCCTTGTCACAAACCACCAGGGTCCTTTTCTTCCCTGAACAAAAGCTTGGAAATATTTGCGAAGCTGATGGAAATGGGGAAAGAGCTATTTTCCTCTTCTGGAAAATCTTAGAGAAAAAATGTCTATGGAAATAGATGGTGGCGATTCAGACGAGTTTTTATATGCTGTGATAATCTTGACAAGTCTTGAAAGTATTTTTGTGCAAAATAACTCTGTCGCTCGTTTTTCCACTCCTATCATCTACATTTTCAGGAACTGAGGACTTTTGTTAGCACAACATCGCCTTAAGCGTAGGCTTTTATGTGCCTCGTAAAATATAGTTCCCAAAAGAATACGCAGAATCTTAAGAAAGAATATTGCTGTTAAGCTGTTAAAGGCCTTATTTCTTTTCTGAAATACCAACTGCTTGTGAACTCTGCTTGAACCTAAAAAGGAGGCTATGGGCCATAAATCAAATGGACAATGCTCAACTGTTTGGTGGCTCATCTTTAGATCTTAAAAAGAGAGAGAGGAAGAGAAAGAGGGAGACCTTTCCAGGGTTTGATTTTCCACTAGTGCAAGGCCCGGGGTGATGTTTTTATAGGTAACACCAAAGCAGGGGCTCAACACTTGGTGGTTTGGCCAGAAACAGCCTCCAGGGGAAAAAAAAAAGAAAAAAAAAAAAAAAAAAAAAAAAAAAGTGACATCCAAATGGTGAGTCCGAGCCGTGGGAGGTGGGCTCGGAGGCACCGAGGGTAGGAAACCGCAAAGTATCCATGTCTGTGTTTCAGATTTCCCTTCCTCCTCTCCAGAAAGGTTAACCTCATCTGAACTGTTAGGCGTTGCACACGATAATGGGGCTTTTTGTCCCGCCGCTGGTTCCAACGCTTTTGGAGGTTACCGAACTTCTCATGGCTCTATCTGGGGAGCAGCCAGGAGCCCACGCATCCACCCGCACGTGTGCGCGGAGCACGGCCGGCCCACGCTGACACCGGCCCGGCACTGCCAGTTGCTTTCCCCTCGACAGTTTCATATTAAGCAGTTCTCTACTAAAACTTCCACTACACTTAATTCTGCTTAGGATCAATATCTAATATGATACCGAATAAATAAGAGGCGGTGAGAGCGGCCAGCGGAGCGGTTATTAAAGCAGCCGGAGCTCTCAGGGTGCATATCAATGCACCTGTCACTGCGGTTTGTAACAAAATTTATGACTGCTAGCGCCGTGGCAGTAAACGCTCCGGCCAGGAATGAAAAGGAAAACACTTCCCAAGCCCCGGCACTTTCAGAAGTGCAAAGCAGCCGGCGCGTAGGAGGGAGCCCGGGGAAAGCATCCCCCGCTCGGCACGTTTCCCGGCCGCCGGCCCGGGGCAGCCCCGTATATAAGGAAAGCGCCGGAGTCGCCGCCGGACCCGGCCGCCGCGCCGGGCCGCGGGCAAGGCAGCCGGGCGAGGGGGAGCCCCGGCCCGGGGACCCCCGAACCTGGGGAGCCTCGGGCCCGAGCGGGCGCCCGCCGCCGGGGCTGCGCCTGAGCCGGGGGCGGGGGGGGGGGGTTGTCTCTCGCATTCGGGGGGTGCTGAGAGCACTGGGGAGCGCCGGGGGGCCCGCGGACCGGGGAGCGGCGGGGGAGGGTGGAGTTGGCTTCGGCACGGAGCGGTGGCCGCCGTGGGGCGTCTTCAGCCGGCTACGGAGCCCCCCGCCCCGGGGAACCCCCCGCTGTCCCCGGCTAGGTGCAGGGCTCGGCTGCTTTCATCGGGGCTTTCTGCGGCCTGTTATTTATTTGGCGTGGGGGGCGGCGGGGCGCCCCGCGTGTCCGCGGCGCCGGGCTGAGCCGAGCTGCACTCCCTGCCAGGGGCCTGTCGCGCTGGGGGAAGCGAGAGATGGATGGGAAAGGAAATTTAGAGAACTCACCACACTTATGTTTTTTCTTGATTTTTGACTTTAACTGTGTGGGTAGGATCTTCAGATTCCTTTGGATAATCCGTGGGCACGGACCTGCAACAGAAGTGAGAACTCTCAGTGGAAACTGCTTTGCTTTGGACTTTCTTCCTTAGGACTTTGTTAATAAATGCAGCTCTCGTCCGCAGCCCCTCACCGTGTCTCTCTGTCCGCGTCAGATCTTTTACCAGACAAAGGGCAGATGCTTCTCTCCGTTTATTAATAGTACTTTGAGAGAGGCGGGGAGCAAACAAACGAGCGAAATACCCCGGCTGCGGGTCGGGCCCGGGCAGGCCGGCCTGCGGCAGCCGCTCCGCCGGGCCCGGCGCACCGGCCGCGGCCGCGGAGCCGCGCTCGCCTCCCTGAGCGCCCAGCCCGGGCCGAGGCGCGGAGAGGCGGCTGCGGGGGGACGGGAGCGCCGTTGCGGCGGAGCTGCGGTCACCCCCGTCGGTCACAGCCCCCACACCCGCCGGCCCCACTCACGGCCCGCGGAGCGCCCTGCGGGAACGGAACCAGTGCGGGTCTCTCTTCCTTCCTTCCCCCCCTGCCCCCGGTTACAACAGAGAGAAAGATAAGCGAAGAAACCCCAGCGCTGAAAATGCGCCGCAAATATTTGCGGCTGGAAACGAGCATTTTGCATTTAGCTGTGTAACATGTCGACTCAGGACTTTAAGAACTTAAGAGTGCCAGAATATCCCCCACAAAGAAGCCCAGGTCATTATAAAGAGGATATCTAGCCACCATAAGCCTTTGAAATGACCTTTGGCTCGTACAGCAATAACTCACCACTTAATGAACAACCAACGGAAGCGCCTCCAATAGCTCACAACACAACAGACCTTACAACTTTCCACCAAGTCTTCTCTCTCCCTACCCAAACCCGGTAGGATGCAACATTCCCCCTCCAAATCGCCTTAATTTATGCTGGCAAACTGGAGTTAGGGAAGTGGAGCTTCATGATTACACATGATGCTCGCTCAGGTTCTTGGCCCGGGCCTGTCCCGGTAACGTCTTATATAATATATTCATGTGGGCGTACGTCAACTTTAAGTGCTTTGTTTTTTTTAAAGAGAGTTCATTAGAAATAGCACTTTACAGGGTATATGAAGGCAGCGTAAATTGGGTTGCACCTTAGCCCCTGAGTGGAGAGATCATAATATTGCAAACCGAGTCATTGTTTCCCGCTGTTGATTAACACGGTAAGTTATCATTTCGTGCCTAATTAATTATCGACTTCTCATCCCTTTCTGAAGCAGCTCCTCAGCCTCCCAAGCGGTAGCCTTCTTGCTCTAGACATGCTTTACTTGGAGAGAGCTTGGCCAAATACCGAGATTTCCATGGCCACAGAAATAGCCCCCAAAGTTTGTTCTGCAGAGAGGGGAGTCCGGGCACGCTGGGGCTGTGCTCTGCTCCCAGCGCCGCTCCTGCAGAGCCGACGCCGGAGAAGTTGCCAGAGCTAAACCTAGGGAAATCTTTAGAACTATTCAGGCGTGGGGCCAATATAGGTATTATTGAAATTTTAGGTGAAGTTATAAGTGAGTGCTTCCATCGAGCCAAATGAAATGCTGCTTGCAGTAATTGGATTCAGCTGACTAACTTGGCAGGCCAGCAGCTTGGAGGCATACAGCTAAGAAAAATGTTCACTGCTTTTAACTTCTGATCGAGCAGAGAAACACGCAACGGAAGGACAGAAACCCACCGCAACTTTCTTCCCTTCCCCTCGCCTCCCTGTTCTGTTCCCCGCGGGGCAGCTCGGCCCCCACGGGGGACTCGCCCGGGTGACTGGGGGCGGGCAGGGTCCGGCGCAGCCTTACACCCACTCCTGCTCGCCCGCACAAAGGTGGGCTGTGCTCGGGGGCTCTCCAACAACCACCAACGAGAGTTCACCCGGGTTCTAGGCAGGCCACAAGTCAGGGGAAACAGGCACTCCTGGGGGAGCCGGGCTGGTTGCAACAGCCCAGGAGGGAGCTGAGCTGCAAATGTATGTGGGGAGGCTGTGTGGCCGCTTCCAGCCCCCCAGTCTGCCCCGAGAGGCACCGGTCCCCCCCAGGCACATTCCCACCGCCTTATTGATCAAACCGCACAAATGCAGGGCAAAAAACTTCTCGGTAGATAAATATCAAGCCGTGCTTCACACAGCGTGTGTAACTCGAAGGCATGAACACACCGGTAATATCAGCACTAAAATAACTGGGGGAGGAAAACAACAGCCATTGAGGAGCACGAATGCACGACGAGGGGGAAAGGTTCGGGCAGGCACTTGGCAGGAATATTTAAGAGACCCTGTGTAGGGGCTACATTACCGATGAGCCCATTTTAAATCGCCCTTTACAGATCAACACGGCTACCCCCTGCCCGGCTATCCACGGCAACGCATTAACGTGATGCTCAATCTTACTTCGGCAATGGGAGCATCTAGCAAAGTTGTCTCTCCCTCGTTTCTTTGCTTATTTGTAATTCCCTTCCTGAAACCACCGAAAATTGGGAAAAGGATAGGGATAAACCTCTTCCCCTAGCCTTTGGGAAGGAGTCCACGTTTTATTTAAAGAGCATAAGCAAAAGAAGATACGGCTTAAAACGTTCAAGGAGGTGGAGACCACTCCATGCATTTGCAGCCGTTACGGGCAGAGATTGCAAACAAATTCCAGACAGTCTCTGAGTAAAGGCGATAATGCAGCCCCTGTGGTTAAAGGTCCCATTTTGTCATGCAGTTGCTTACCTGTGCATCAATTTATCATAAACCTGGGCTCCTCACTTTTCAGGATCTGCGCTTGCAGTTCTTAGAATATATCCTTCACCCTTTGTCTGCAGACAATACTCTCCTAAACCTGATCTTGCGGTTTTACTGACATTTCCATACACCAGAATTCCCGATAGAACGAAAACAGGCTCAGGCTCAACTACCAATAAAAGAGAGCGAGTGGAAATCGGAATTTGTTGGGCTTTAAAAAAAAAAAAAAAAAAAAAAAATCAACACCACACAACCCTTTAGCCATCAGCCTCCTGGAACCAAAGGCAGCAATTGGCCGGCTCGTGTTTTGTTTTGGTTTTAAATCGTGCGACCATTGATGAATTTTGGGGGCGAGCAGGAGAAACCCCTTTATAATCAGAAATATAGGCACTGCCTTAAAATACAGGCATAGGGGCCCACGTGACCGCAGGAGCCGCTCGCCGGGGCCGCGGCTGCCGCGCTCCCCGCGCCCCCGCGCAGCCCCGCGGGGCGGGCCGCCCCCCGCGCCCCGCGCCCCGGCCCGCCCGCGCGGCCGGGCCCCGCTCTCCTCCCGCAGAGCTCCGCACCGCACCGCACCGCTCCGCACCGCTGCGCGGCGGCCGGCGGCGGCGGCGCCCGCACTTACGCGCCCCGCGGGGCCGGCGGAGCCGGCGGAAAGGTGATTCCGCGGGGTGATCCCAGGGAGCAGAAATTCCCGGCGGAGAAAGAGGAGGTATTGGGGACCGGCTGGAGCCCAGAGCCTGCGCCGGGGGCAGCTCCGCAGCGGCGCTGCACCGGCGGAAAGGCGCTGGGGCTCACTGGCGTGCGCGAATTTTTGTTTTCTCCTTCTCCGTACCGGGAAGATGCGGGGCAGCGGGGACTACCCCTGTCTGGAGGCTAAAGAAACGTTGGGGGAAAAAAAAAAAAAAACAAACACAAAAAAACCCAAAAACAAAAACAAAAAAAAAACCCACCACAACTCATGACATTTGTGCGTGTGTGTGTCTGCCCTGAGCTTGCCTCCCCTCTCTGTGTATGAAGAGACATAGAGCAAACCCGGTGTATATCCGTCATGTGTGCCCACAAAGCTCCCCAACAATCCCAGTACGGCAGGGGGAAAAAAATATATATATTACCTCCTCTGATTTTTCTAACATATCTGTAGCTATAAATACACCACACCTAATCTAACATCTGCTATGATTTCATTACCATCCAAAGCATGGGGATGTGACAGTAACATATTACCTTACAATACTAACCATAAGTGCATTGTAACATTTATCTAAATTACATTGCTTTTCCTGACTTTGCAAACCAGTTATAAAAAGATTGGAGTCCAGTGATGGAAACATAAGTTCAATGTAAATTATTGTGTACGGCTTTGGATTTATAATCCTATATTTCTTCGGAATGATGCACTTAAATCTCGCCTCAAGTAAGAGGTAATGGTTCTTTATATCCTTTTCCGCCAGCCATATATTTCGGCGTCTGGGTAGTTTTGCAGAGCCCCCCGCGCTCGCGTGTCTGTGTGTACATACAGCAACCCCTACACGCACAGCGTGTTCTGCATACTTGTGTACGTATACACAAAGCCGAATATAATTCTGGCCGATGTTTAGACATTTTGGATGACGGAGAGGTCTTTCACTTCCTGCACAAAAGTGCGAGGGAAAAGCTGAGCACCGGTCGAGCAAAGAGCACGAAGAGGATTCAGAAGAAAATGCCTTTTTGGAGAGCAGTTCGAAACCCCCTGGAAAAAGCCCCACAGCCCTCGGGCGTCTTTTCAGAGTCTAGGGCTAAGGAAAAAAAAAAAAAAAAAAAAAAAAAACCAAAAACCAAGAGGCGAAATTTAATGTGAAAATGGAGGACGGGTGAAAGAAAGGAGCGCCTTCGCCACCGCCACCAGAATTAAGACATAGTAAAGGGGACTGAAAAAGTATTAAGGAAATGTTAATCCTTTGGCTGGTGGGACTCCAGCTTTGTGCGAATTTGTCTCCAGTAAAGGATCTAAGACTTCTTCAATCGGAGCATATGTTCATAGAGCAATAAAACAGAAAGATTTACAGTCTCCGCCCGCCCCCCAGCAGCCTCGCACCCTTTCAGGAATTACTTATGATGATTTATAACAACAACTCCGGCAATTGTCAAACTGATAAAATAGCCCGGGCTATATGCGGGAATAAACGCTCTTATGAAAGGGCTGCGATTTATGTTCGGGTCCATTTTACTGCGTGTCTTGGTGGAGTTTGGTTTCTTTCCCGGACCAACAGGATAATATAAAACTTCATTGATAAAAATGTAGGAGTTCTCATGAAGTAGCAAATCTGTTCCTTAGTCACTACCAAAGCACATAAACATTTGTCATCTTTGAATAATTGAATTAATGTGTTATTGTTTGAATGTATAATTCATAACATAGGAAACTTTGTCTCTGTCCTGCCACCAAAACGGAAGCAATAAAAAGCTACAATCTAGAGGTTTTTAGAAATTACTCCAGCAAGGGATAATAAAGAATATCCTGTTTGCATAAAGTATTTCCAGCTGACTTTGGGATTTCACAGAGAAATCTCAACCTCCTTGTCCATATTCTGTGGAGCTTATAGAGAGTGGCTTTGTATAAAAATACAAAACCGATTTCCCCCTAGTCCGGGCTATTGATCGGAGACTTGAAAGCCGGCGTGCCCGCTCCGGGGGCTGGATGTGCCCGGTTCCTCCGCAGCACCGCTCCGGGCGGCCAGGCTCGGGCGGAGGCGGCCGGGGAGCGGGCAGGAGCGGGCAGGAGCGGGGGGCTGGAGCGGGCAGGAGCGGGGGGCTGGAGCGGGGGGCAGGAGCGGGCAGGAGCGGGGGACTGGAGCGGGCAGAAGCTGGGGGCAGGAGAGGGCAGGAGCGGGGGGCTGGAGCGGGGGGCTGGAGCGGGCAGGAGCGGGGGGCTGGAGCGGGGGGCTGGAGCGGGCAGGAGCGGGGGGCTGGAGCGGGCAGGGCGGCCGGGGCCGGAGCGGGGGGCCGGGGCAGGGCGGCCGGGGAGCGGGGCGGGGGGCCGGGGCGGGAGCGGGCAGGGCGGCCGGGGCCGGGGAGCGGGGCGGGGGGCCGGGGCCGGGGCCGGCCGGCCTTTGTGCGGGCGGCGGGGGGAAGGCGCGCTCGGCGCTAGCTGCGGCCCCGCTGTCAAGACTCACGGCAAAATTTACGACCTCGCTTGCAAAGCAGCTGAGGGCCTTTCCCCGCCGGTGGGACCGGGCAGCGGCTGCCCTGACAGGCGCATTGTTCCTGCCGCTCCGCGCCTCCCCGCGCAAGCGGCCGCGGCCAGCGCCGCCACTCCGGGAGGCGGTCGGTCAGCCTGCCTCCTCCGCGGCGCTCCGCGGCGCTCCGCGCTCGCCCTCTTCCCCCCGCTCCCTGGGCAGCAAAGGTCACCTCTTGCGCCCGGTCCGGTTCCCGGCCGCTGCCGAGCTGGAAATCAGGAAGCAGCGTGCCCTATTTGTCAAGCGTTTGACAGCTGAGTTCATTAAGCCTTAAATAAGAAGGAATAAAAGTAAAAAAAAAAAAAAACAAACGTTTACGTACCGGGCGTCTCTTTTTCGGCAGCTACCAAAGAGCTAGGTGTGCAGAGAGAGAGACTGCACCCTTTGTATATTATATTCTTGGGATCTCTTCAGTTTTCAAGTCTGATAGAGTCCTTTGCTTGGCAGATTAATGACGACTCCGTGTTTCTTAAGGGACGTGCTGAATTAATTATTTCGCAAATCACGTGGTCAGGACTTGTAGAAATCTATTCTTATCATCTTCCTTGCACTTTGAAATTCTGCCTGTTATGACTGTTCCTAGCAAGATTATTTTGGTCTCTAGGCTGGGGGGGGGGGGGGGGGGGGGGAGGGAAGGGGAAAAAAAAAAAAAAAAAAAAGGAAAAAGAATCAGGGGAAAGGGCTAACAAACATGGCCGTTGGAAGCGGTGTGGCTCTGCACTGAGAGGTCCCTATTTACTGTACTGTACAGTGAGTGGGGTTTGCTATTGACTCTGCCTTTCCTCTTCATTCTTACCTTAACGACTAGTGGTGATATAATATACAGAACTGTATTGATGTATCTGGAGTAACAGGAGGAGCCATTAAACAGAAGAGAGAGAAAGTATAATCACAAAATGTGCCTCGACATTTAAACTTAGCGAGTGTGTGCTTAGAAAGGCACCCGCACCCTTCCCTCCGCGCAGCCCGGGCAGGGAGGGCACATGCCTGGCCCTGGGCACCGGCCGCCTGCCCGGGCCGAGCAAGGGACTGGCTCGAGGGGGGGCCATGCCTTGACCCCGCTCCAGGACAGGACAAGTCCTCAGTGACAAACACTTATGAAAAAAATAGCCCAACCGACTTCTCCTGGCCAGAGGTATGTGTTACTGTCTGAGGTGCTTATGCAGGGGGGAAAAAAAACCTGATGTTTGCCTTAGGCGCAGAGAAAGTTTAAACTTTCCAAGTTTGTGTTTTCTTGTGATCTTTCATTTGTATCGGCTGAAAAAGTGAAGCTTACTGCTCTGGAAAAGCTACCCACTGCATTCCAATTTCAAATTTCCATTTCTTTTTTGAACTGATTCCTTCCAGGACTCACCTAAAAGGCACACATCTGTACGGGGATCGAGGTGATTTCAGGTGTGGTTCCTTGCCTCCTACCACACACGCATAAATCCGGGAGTCATTCTAGGAGGGCTTGTTAAATGCAAAGCAGTAGCAAATGGATGACAGGCACTTTTAACTGCAGCCTAAATGTAAATACAGACTCCAGCTTAGCCTAGAGTCACACCATTATGGCTGGGGCGATCAGCAAACCTGTTCAAAGGGACATTTGGAAGGATGCTATGCAGAGTCACTCATCTTTTAACACTGTAATGATGGGAGGGACCAGCATTTTCACAGAAGAGAGACCCACCTTGTAAAGACTGTTTGTTCAAGGTACAAACCAGAATCTATTTCTCTACACCTTTTATTATTTCAAATGTATATGGAGGGCTTACATCAAAACTACAGGCAACAATTAGTATAAATAACGCTTTAATCAATGGCAGCAAAACATTGGCAAAGTCTATAAAAAGCATCACACTTCAATGGAGACGAGAGTATTGCTGGACAATGCGACCGTTTAACAAAGGCTCCAATGCACAACGTTTCACCCATGATAAACAAAAATAACCAGCTTCCCTTCCTACACAAAATAACTCTGGATGAGGGTTAAAAACCAGTTAAAAAACCTCCCCAATTTCGTTTTCCACGGGAGATAATGACCAGTGAGTGCTCCTGGTCGTTATTACAGACATTCCTGACCCTTCAGAGCTTTGGCAGCTGGAAACTATTTCTCTTGGTACTTTCTGCCTCCAGTTCACGTATTCTCCCAGTTTACAGCGCAATTACAACTATGTAAACTTACAGTGCCCCAGCCTCGCTCAAAGGGGACTTGCAAACAGGGTTGTAAGAGCTGTGCCTGCTGAACCCAACACTCGTCCTGGAGTTATTAACATTTCAAAAGACAATGAGACAAATTCTGCTCGCAGCTACATCCCTGTTTGACTTCGGTGGGCGGGGGAAGAAAAGCTGGGAGCAGAATTTGGACCTTTAACTTCAGGAGCCATCTCGGTGGATAAGAAGCACAAAGTAAGGATTTGCCTATCCAAGGCCATTATTTTCCAGAACTGTACCACAGATGCCAAAGTTGGTTGCTCTCTAATAACACTTTTGCCCTGCTCGAAGCCAACTTATCACAGACTTTAAGTAAACAGCGGGGGTCCAGGAGGGGGGATTTTCAAGAAGAGCAGACAGAGAGGTTTTTCTGGTTTTGTTTTGTTTTCCTTTTTTTCCATCCTTTCCTCTTTTTTCTTTCCCTAGACTCGTATGAAGAGCAAAGGGAGGGCTTTGGACAACTCTGGAGACGAAAGGCCGCTACCGCAGGAAGCGGGTGTAACAAAACTTGCAAACTTGTCTCAGGCATTCCCTCCTCAAGCGCTGCTGCTAGCTGCTCTCCATGCCAGAGAAAGGGAAGGGTAGTTTGGGTCCAAAAGGTTAAGGGTTTAGAGGTCACTCTTCCCGGCTGAAATACAACTAATCGAATAGAAAATTTGTCCTCTGGGTGAACCTGTTCCTGCAATTTAGCCGAACTTCAGTAAAATACCTTTTCAGCTTCTCAACGTGAAGGCGTCAGAAAAAAGACGTCTTTACTATGTATGAACTCGGCGCTTTTTGTCATAGAAACAATGATGCGAATAATGCGGGAATATCCATCTTTAATATCACGACGTGGAGATATTCAAGTATTGCCATGTGCAAGTCTGAGAACTGGGCTAACCCTAAGGAAGAACAAAGAGTTTTCTCCAGGCTCTAAAACAAAAGACCAAGTCCTAAAGACACTTTGCGGACTTCTAGGGATGAGAAAAGGGCAGAAATTAACCGCTGGCCACACTTAATGCTGCCGAATACACTCCTGTTGAAAAGCTCGCCTTTCATTTTCGAATTCATTCAAGCCCATTTTGGCCAGTGTTTTCCCGAGCGAGCCCAGAAAGCAGCGAGTCCTTGGTGGGAAGCACCCAGCCTGGAGATGGGCACATTAACTCACCCCCTGCTCTCCCCACCTCCCTTCAGCGTTTGCTCCGGGTTTCCTTCTTTGCCCCTTTTCTCTTTAATAAAGGCATCACCTCGTTACAATTTCGATGATATGCCCCCTCTCCCAGGCTGCCCTGAGGGTACAGGAGATAAGGGCTGAGCTTTAAAATCGCCTGAGCGGAGGTGGAAGTGGCTGAGGGAGCTGGTTTGGCTAGGTTTGGTAGTTACAGCGCACTAAAACTTTGGCACGATTCAGCCAGCAGCCAGGGACAAATCCGTGGGTATTAGACCAGCTCTGCTCTCATCCAAGCCTTTCCCCTTTCCGTGAAAGCAACTTGCTGAGATTTCCAGCCATTGTAGCCATGTGTCGTGGTTTGCTTAAAAACAGTCACTGTTCTTCAAAAAACCTCGAAGCCAATAGACCAAAATAACCCCAAAACAAAACAAAGCAACAACCCACATAGCCCCTCTTTCTCCTGGGCAGAAAAGAAATTTAAAATCTGGTTGAAAGAATGCATTCAGCTTTCATCTTTCAGTGGCTCAGGTTATATCAGAAATCACATTAATTTTTCACTCTGGGGTTTTCTTTTTATTTTTTTGTTGTGGGGGTTGGGGTTTTGTGGTCTTCCCCCCCCTTTTTTTTTTTTCTTCTCCGTTTTTAAATGATGTATCGATGATTTAAAGCACAGCGCTGAGCAGAGCGGACTTTGGAAACTGATTTCAAGCCTGTTAGCCCTGGATGGTACACGGTAAGGAGCAGGGACGCTTTTCCTATTCACAAAGATGGAAATTCAAAAAAAGGGAGAAGAAAGTTGTGTACGTTCAAGACAAGTAAACATTATACATGTGTTCATGAGACTGGGAAGGAGAAATACTGTATTTCAGCTCCCCTTCCCCGTTTTTGGTTTGACTATTTTTCTTTTTATCTTCACTCCTCTACATAACAAATAAATAAATATGCTAACACTATCAGTACATAAAATAACCCGTTTTCACTTAATTCCTATGCACACCTTCTGAGACGTTATGGAAATGAGCAAGTATTTTCATTACACCAAGAAAGGTAAAGCAGCACAAAAAGTTCACAATTACTAGTCTTTATGTTAAAATAAAAGACTATGCCATAAATTTCCTGTCCTCAACTTGGCCAAATGCATCCTCCCGAAATTACATGGGATAAAAAGACAATTAAAGTACAAATCTCAGAATAAAGCATCAAAGCTTCACTTTCGAATTCAAAACTGAAACACAGGACAGTTTCATTTTCAATGATTTATTACTTTTTATGGACAGAAGGTCTCGTTTAATATTTTCCCAATTCCCACTGCCTGCATCATGATGTTTCTTTTCTTTCTTTCTTTCTTTCTTTCTTTCTTTCTTTCTTTCTTTCCCCCCCCCCTTTTTTTTTTTGTTCCTTTTTTTTTTTTTTTTTTAGGTTGTGCTAGCAGAGGCAAATAAAATAAAGTCCAAAGTAGCGTCATTTTGTCTCCTTTGTACAACAGTACCTTAAAGAAAGATGACAGTTTCTCGAGTCCTTAGCTGCTACATGCAGGTTCTGCTTGGGCAGTGTCAGTTATGTACAGTACTGGTCAGAAGCAAAGGATGAAATGGAAAATTTCACCTCTTCTACAAAGTTGTCAAGTCAGTCTGGTGGTCCTTGGAACCAGTCTGTAAATGGGGGTTTGAACCAGAGGAAGAAGACCTGCCCTTCGTGTTGGGCAGTTTGTGATCTTTTTTCCACTTCATTCTTCTGTTCTGAAACCAGATCTTGATCTGGCGCTCAGAGAGACACAAAGTGTGGGCTATCTCGATACGGCGGCGCCTGGTCAGGTACCTGTTAAAATGAAATTCTTTTTCCAGTTCTAGGACTTGCTGTCTGGTGTAAGCTGTGCGGGAGCGTTTAGGTTCCCCTCCGTTGTAATTGGGATTCACTGGGAAAAAAATACGGAGAACTTTACAAAGCTAATCTTGACTTGCCGGTTCGACTTTACAAAAGAAAACCCTACGAGCTGCGAGCATGTGGCCAGGCTGGATTCGTCCCAGTTGCTTACAATGGACGGGCTGCTCTCCCCCTCACTTAAGGCAGGCACTACAGGCACACGCAGCTAGGTAGGCTGGGAGCCTCTAGCAGGCTCCTAAAATGGAGTTTTCTCCTGCACGGCAAAGCCCCGCATAGCCAACGGCCTCTTTCCTCAGCAATAAAAATTTATGACGAGTGTAATTGGCTACCTCGGCTTAAAAAGCTCGTCCACAAGTCTGGCAGGGACTCGAGCGAGCGTCGCTGAGGCCGATCGGAAGCAGGGTAGAAGAGCAAAGTAAGAAGAGGATCCTTACCCGAGTTAACATGGACTTTCTTCATCCAGGGATAAACTACTGCTGGCTGCTTAACTGCTGACCCATTTGGGGGTTTGAGGGCCGGCTGCTGGCTGCAGGCTCGCGAGTTGGACATTGGAGGCGGTGGACAATGCTCTGCTTGGCCGGGGAAGTGGCTCGCTGGGCCGGATTGCTCCTGTCCATGACCCCGCGGCTGCACGGCAGAGCCTTGGGCATTGCTACAGCTAAAGGGCTGCTCGCTGTAGTTTGACCGTGGGTAGAGTCCCTGGTGCTGGAAATCAGAGCCCTGTGAGGCACTGTAGTACTCGGCCCCCTGCTCGCCTAGGTAGCTATTCTGCAAATATTCCTCACAAGGAGGAAATTTGGGATCCACATACTTAGAGTTCACCATATACGAACTCATGGCCATTAATTTCTGAAGGTAGAAAATACTAATTTTTCTCGTGTTGTCTTTTTTTCCCCTGCCATAGAGCCCTCCTACTTGCTGTCAACTGAATAAAGTTAGGCGGGCATGTGACCGGCCTGGCCAATGGGGAGCCGGGAGCCGATCACCGGATTTCTCCGCAGCTCAGCATTTCCACCAATTTCACTCAATAATATCCCCGTAACCGAGTGACCCCCCTCTCCGGCGGGTCGCACCCCCCAAACCAGGTACCGGAGGTGTAGGGGTACTCCTCAGGCAGCGGCCGCCCCCCCAGCCCACAGGTAGGGCCAGCCTTTTGTCTGAGCTGGCTCCCCTCAGCCCCGATGGATGATGCCCCGCCGTCTGATTCACCAGCCGCAATCGCCACCGGCATTTGTCACCTCGCTTTAAATAAAATATCGAAAGAAGTATACGGAGCGAGGAGCTGAAGTGGGGTTAAAAGGGAGGAAACAGATAAGGAGGCGAGGAAAAGAAAAGCCATCAAAGAAGAGGGTAATATGATGTACAATAGGTCTGTCCTGTCTTTGTCTCGCAGAGGTCATCCAAAAGTTACCAGAATTTAGTTCTGCTGAATAAAATTAGGCAATCAGTAACTTCTCATTCACTTTCAAGCCTCAATATATATGTGTGCCTATGTATGCATGCACACATGCAAACGCACACACACACATATATAAATCTATACACATATGTATGTAAAAACATACAGATGGCAAGAAACCGTTCACTTTTAACCACTAAAGTTCAATCAATTGAACTGAAGACGGCATTTAATTAGGTTAAAAATATCACGGGTTTAATGAGATAAATTCGGTCTTCATTCATCAATATCATTCCTGGAGCACAAGTAAACACATTCCAGTGAGGCGAATGCTGCTTTTGTTGCTGTCTTAAATATTTTGATGCGATCTGGACCCTTGACAGGAAAATTTTGCTAGCGTCTGGCATATCTAGCTAATTTATGAGCATCTTTTAAAAGATTCATTCACTGATTGGTAGATAATTTTTTTATTTTTTTCAGAAAATTTGTAACTTCTGGTGAGATTAACTGTTTAAATTCACAGTCAGTGAGAATTACGACTGAACGACAACTGAAATTTTAAGAGACATCCAAAAACCTAGCAAATAGGAGCGAGGCAGCAAAACTTTTATAATTTCTGACTGTTCAGCACGCACATGCCTTTTGATTCCGCCAGTATTTAAACTTCTAACCATTTGCAGAAAGGTGAAGTTTTTGCATCGACCATATATTCCCCTAGAATCGAATCTGTGACTATATGAATATCACACAAATTCGGTTCTACAGGGTATATATAGACAACGTAATAACATTCTGTTTTCATCTACAATATAGCAGGTCTTTGCAATTCTTAGTCCTTACTGTCTTCTGAGGAATGCAAACTATTCTGCTGGGACTGAGTTCTGAAATACGGATTTGCAGGAAGGTGGGATTTCAGAAAAGATTCACGCTTGTTATTACTGCTGCAATAGAGCTATACGACTCTCCACCAATTTATAGCGATGAATTTCGCCTACCAAATTCTCTGAAAGACCTGCTGCTCACTTTAAATGCTCTGCCGTTTATGTCCTCACTACGGAGAAAGGACGTTACCCCGGTCAAATTGCGCTATTTAGAATAATAATGGTTAAAATAATTTAGAAACGAGCCTTTATCTATTTAGGCTAACACGAATCTGAAGAGATTCTCCATAATTAGAAATCCCCCCTCCCCCTCAGACAAAAAGAATTTAAAAAAAAAAAAATCGAAACAGAAGTAAAACAGCCGACAACAGAAACAGCGATTGGTGAAAAAGAGGAGATTAAAGGCTGAAGTTAGTTGCTCTGGGGAAGAAGAGAGTTTCCAAATTTACCTTCATCCCATTATGCTGGTCTAGCTATTATCCCCGCGAGCTGCCTGCGAGCCGCAGCCTCGCACCCTCCCAGGTTCTCCCCTCCGTAGCGTTTATGGTGAAGGGCAGGGCGAGAGGTCAGCCGAAATCATTTACAAACATATCACAAAGTTTCATTATTTTTACTTTGTCGACAGCGGCACACAGGAGTACAAAAGTTCATGAATTGTGTCTGACCCAGCTCCTCACTGCTGTCCTGCGGTCAACCTCTTCTCCTTCCACTATTTAAAACAGGCACCATAAGGACAAATAATGGTGCGGGTGTGATACATCCAACCACTGCGGAGGGCAGATTTGGGGGTGTTGCGTTTATCCAACTGATGTGGACCGGTTTGTTTGCCTGCCTCCAACTCCCAGCTGCCTGATCTGGGGGATGCTATTTTTAAACATCTGATTTCTTAACACTGCGGTAGTGTCTTCTTCACAGCAAGTGCAACTCGAAACGACTTTGTGTCCCTAACCTTCCCCCCCCCTCCCCGCAGATTATTTAAATCTCCACCCAACTATTTTAAACGTCTCGCCCCGCTTTCTCCTCCTTTCTCTGAGGGGAGGGGGGATACCTCCCCCACTGGGGGGTTGTTAACCACCGGACTGAACTGACAGGGTAACACCCCACCCCCCCCCAACCCGAGCTCGCGTTTGGGGGAGCCCCTGGAAGCGGACAAGCCCGCCGAGGGCTGCCCGGGGAGAAGCGATGGGGCTGGGGAAGCAGCAGCTCCCCGCTCTGCTTAATACTACACATTTTCATATTTGTTAGACGCTGTGACCTGCGTTTCACCTTATTGCACGACTTGCTCAGACAGGTCAAAGCCAAAGAGTTATTGATGAACAAAAGCGTTATATATTCACCTCCTGTTCAACTGCCCATATAAAATGCTTTTGATCTATCAGGCTTTTTGTATTCTGGTTCATAATCAGTATGCTAAATATACGTTACTAGAAAACAAGTAATCCATACATTTAGGGCCGGCCCTGGAATAAAACGCCAAGGGCATCTACATAGCACAGGACTGAGCTACAGGGGGGAAGAAAGTTACCTATGGAACACAATTAAAACTGCAACGCTCGAGGCGATTCTTTAGTTCGTATTTTAAGGGCTCGAAAACCAATACCACAACGCAAGGCAAAAGGAGAAGCCTGGCACAAGCAGTGAAAGAGAATATTTATCAGCAATCAGGGATAGCAAACAGGGAGAACCGCAGACAAACACAGCTCCGCTCTGGTGCATGCTCCCGCTCCGAGCGGGGCTGGCAGGAGCCGGGAGGGCAATGTGTGCCTAATGAATCTCCAAATATCGCAGGCTTTCTTTTCCTCTTTGAGAGACAAGCCGGTCTCAGTCTGAAGCACCAGGACTAATGCCCTTAGCTCCTTACTGCAGCCAGAAAGATTCAACAGCATCTCCTGCTACACACCGAACTGCTGCCCTCCCCTCGGTCCCCCCAGCGCAGCTCACGCGGGACCGTCGGGGATGCGAAACCCCCTACAGTAAAAGGTTGCCCTCCTAAGCTCAGACAGCCATTCCTTCCCGTGCCTTCACAACATTTATATCCACGTTTGAATCTCCCTTGCCCAGAGAGACCTAGTAGAAGAGGACGGGTGGTACCGCCCCGCAGGACCGGGCTGCGGCGTGGGCTGGAGCTGGCAGCCCCCAGAGCCCGCCGCCTCTCTCGCCCATTCACCAGGCAATGCCAAACGACGTTAACATCAGAGAGCAGGCACAGCTCTGCTTGGAATCCCGTCTGCAGAAAAGAGGGGGAGTAGCCAGGGTTATGAGGCGCTGGGACACAACGTGACGGGTGCGGGCTCTGCGCGGGGAGGCGCTGTACAGTCCCGCCACTTACAATGGGAACGCTGCTAATTGCTTCGCAGCGCTAAGGAGCAGGAGGACACCTGTACAGCCCTGTAATAAACCCTCAGGAGGCTGCACCTCTACTTTTAACGCTAGCCAGGATTATGACATGGTACCACAAACTGATTCCACAAAAGCCTTCACATGCTGACATCACCTTTTTTTCCTTTTTTTTTTTTTTTGGAGGGGGGAGGGGGGCGGAGGAGAGGGGGGGGTTGGCAATATTCAGCAGGGATACATCAGTTTTAATTCTTCCAGTCTAAAGGAAAGAAACAGGATTTTCAAGCATCACAAACTCTACAAGAAATAAGAGGTTACCTACCGTGGATGTCCTTCCATGCTGCCGAACCTGTTGCAATAAAAACGTTTGTTACTGTTGTATTCCACATACGGGTGATATTTCTGGCGAACAGTTACAGACCGCGTTTGATAGATGAAGGCAGAGAGGAGCTGGTGGTAAATCCTGCGAGCTGCGGAGTGGTGGGGTGGAAGCCCCTTCCGAATGAGGACCACGTTGCATTCAGGCAGTTTTTTTATGAACACATGCTTTCTCTGTTCCTGGGGTGTGATCTTTCACTTTTAATGTTCATAGTCTAGATTTCATACCGAATAATTTCTAAAGGAATTGAAAATCAGACCTCCCTCTTTCACTGATGGAAAAAAAAAAAAGAATAACAAAGGCCTTTTTTTTTTGGTTATTGTTCTGTGACAATCCAGTCACTTACAAATGAAATATTCAGATCACCTTTGCTAAACCATCACCCATAAAATGTCACAACACGCCACGCAGCACCGTATCCATGCTGAGCACAGAAAGAACAACAATTATCTAAGAATAAATCTCGAATTACTCTAAGATAGGTCCCCTTTAAGATCACCTAATTAACCTAACAGTAACCATGAGACATGCGTCTTTGTTTGCATTATAGAAGGATAGATTTGACTTGAGCTTTCCTTCGTATGTTTTAGCAAATACATTCGAAGCTCACATTAAGGAAAACAAAAACACGCGCTCAGTCTAATGCTCCTGAAAGGCACCATATATTTAAAAGTAAATAATGATGGGGGGTTCTTTTCTGTAAGCGAATTTTCACCTCCTCTATTGCCTTCCTACGATATCTTGGAGAGTCATTATATTACACACAGAGTAATTGCCTCCGTACCAATAGTTCACTAGATAGATCTTCCCAAGACTGTTTTTGTTAAAAAAAAAAAATTGTTTTAGTTCTGCCCAC